ACCTTGGGCACGGCGGTAGATCCGCCCGGCCCTGATGGTGCTAAGGATGGGTCGACGGTCAGACTCGCCTCCTCTAGCCTCACGGCCGCATCTTCCCCTACGTTGAATGGGAAGGGTCCCTGCATTGACGAGTGGGTGCCTGTCAACGCGTCCTCGCTTTCCAGGTCACCCCACTCAATGTCGGCGACTACCTCGTCATATTCCACGTCATCATCATCGTCACTGTCTATCTCCTCTCCTCGCTCTTGTGACCACAATTTCTCCTACTTCTTCCTCATGACCTCCTTCATCTTCCTCTCCCACTCAACCGTGGTGCGATTCAACATCACCATGAGCGGGTCCTTCGGAAGCAGAGCCGAGCTATCCATAAAGACTAGTCTCTTCGGCTGGTCCCGCTATCCCAATGTCAGCATCAAGGGGTTGGAAGTTCAATTAAAAAAGAGGCACGGGGGAAGAGAGCTTACGGAGTCAATGTACCCCAGTTCCGGGCGCATTAGGGGATGGCCCGGCACCGGATACACAAAATCAAGAACGACATCAGCGCCATCCTTCAAGGGCTCCATTGCCTCCTTGATGCGTTGTGCCACTTTAGAGGGGGGAAGCGCTTCCTCGATGAGCGCTGTCCCCTCGAGCAATGCTCCAGGCGCCATCAGATACAGGGGGGTGCGTGAATCATCAGCGGCGCCACCCTCCATGTGTGATAGGCGCCGATGATCCCCGACCCCTTCACGCGCCTCTCCTTCAGAATTCGGATGGCGGCGAGATGGTCCTAGATTTTCTTCTTGTCTTTATTCAGGACACCCCACTTCCACGGTTCCAGGACCTCTTCGACAATGCACCTGGAGAACGCCGGCAAGGGGACGGCTATGTCGTCCTTGATGTAAAACCAAAGCGAATGCCACCCCTTGTTGGAGGTCGACAAACGCACCGACGGGTATTCGTTTACCCGGTTGTTGCGGAGATGAATGCTGGCACATCCCACCGGCACGCTCAGCTCTTGCCTCTTCTCCCACTTCTTCAAAAGGGAGACGACAAAGAAATACCGCCACAGGTCAAAGTGGGGACTAATCCCTAGGAATCCCTCACATAGGGTAACGAACGCCGCAATGTGTAGTATTGCAACAATCCCCGAAGAAACTTGTGGGCAGGTATGGTGAATCCTCGCTCATGGAAGTGAGCGAAGGACACGACATACCCTTCAGGCGGCGACGGTGCGTCCTCATTGCCGGGTAGCCGCCACTCCTCGGTGGCGGTCCACGGGCAAAGGAGGCCACGACGAATGAGACCCTCTAGGCGCTGAAGGGTGATATCAGATCTGCACCACGGCTCCATTGAATGATTATGAGGGGTGGTCGGATGCAAGCTTGACGGCGGCTACGATGCGGGTGCGGGAGGCTCATGCAATTGGCGGTGGAGGTTGTAGATGCAAAAGCAAGGAGGCAAAGTACGAAACCCTAGGGGCGAACCCCTAGGTTTTATAGGGGCGACGGGTGCAAGAAGGGCAACCGTCCGCCTATATCTCCGTGCCTACCACGATACACCACCACGTCATGTTGCGAGATACGCGCCCGCGATCCCTATCCTTTCCCACCAAAGTCGCGTCGGACGTTTCGCCTTCTCGAGCAAACCAGGACTCTTTTCCCGCAGAAGGGATACGGGTCAAAAAGCATTTCACCGGCCCGCTTGGGCTTAGGAGTTCGAGGGATAGCCCAATAGCTTCAACGGTCGTCCCAACAAGGGATGGGCCCACGAGCAGCCAAAACTCAGGTGCACAAGCCTTAGGGGAGTCTCGATCCGCAATCGAGTCCCAACTAGGCTGGCCCTGGATGAATCCCCGCGAACGGGATACTTGGGTTCCTTTTAAACTATCCAGTTGTCAAACACCAAATCTCACAGCCATACCCACGAAGGGTCCAAAATATCCCCGGGCGATTCTATCTGAATCATCCATGGGCTCAGGGGCTACACCCGACGGGTGCGCTCGAGCGCACCCTCTGGCAAATCGAAATACCCCTGGGCGATTCTATCCGAATCACCCAGGGGCTCGGGGGCTACACCCATCGGGTGCGCGCGAGCGCACCCTCTGGCAAGTCAAATCACCCCCTGGGCGATTCTCTCTGAATCACCCGGGGGCTACTGTCGGGGACCTAATACTGGGGTACCCAATGCAGTGGAGCTAATAACCATCAAACGTTGATGCTTCCAGACAGATAAGAACGCAGCTACACTTCTTGCCCGAATGACTGAAGATTGGCTCCGCCTCACCCGACGTCCGAGGGCAGGGCTCCGCCGTGCCCGATGTTTCAGACTGGTTCCGCCTCGCCCAACATTTCTAGCTGGCTCCGCCTCGCTCGACGTACGAGGGCAGGGCTCCACCTCACCCGATATTCTAGGCTGGTCCCGCCTCGCCCGACGTCCGAGGGCTGGCTCTGTCTCGCCCAACGACTACACCCTGCTCCTTTATAATGACAAGCACATGGTAAGACAGGACATTCGAGTCAACTACAGTACCGAGGACCATATCCTGCGCACCTACGGGCAAGTACCATCAGGATATGATGGGATTGGCGCTTTAAGCCCTTCCAAGCATGACAGAGCCCGAACAGTGTTGTAGGCGCCGACTTTTGTCTTACAGTGTTGTGGGCGTCGACATCAGCCCTCGGACACGGATCCTAACATAAGCATACGACAACCACTACAATCCAGAAGGGAACTCACATCATCTATAGTGATGGACGTATGGTCACTTTCCCGTCTGCTCCCCGTAGGGTCACGGCTCAGCACCCCGGCATGCCGCACCGTCCGCCGGAGTAGGATGGGACGTGACCACTTGCTGAACGAGGCCAGAGCATGGCCCTATCAGGATCAACGAACATGCCATCCCTAGCATCGCCTGCCATATCAGCAGGGCAGACTCAAGGGAAAAGGAAGACCCAACACCTTCGAAGGACCTTATCTACCTCTGGGTTTTCCTCTTTCTCCCATCTATAATCCCTGCTCCCCTTGGGTCTATAAAAGGGAGGGCAGGACACCCCACTAAGAGAGGGACTCAACGGATCAATCCGACACACACAACACATAGCTGAGCAACGACCAAGCTCTTGGCATCCTTTCGACCTTTCCATCAGAGACTTGGGACATGTCCCTCTCTCGACCGTTTGTACCCCCTACTATGAACCTTTTTCGGTGCTAATAACATGAGCAATAGCAAACTAGACGTATGGACATTCTGCCCGAACCAGTATAAACCTTATGTCCTTTAATACACCATCCGGGCCTAACGCGCAACAAATACAAATTTACTAGTTGGTGTTTACTCGAAACACCGACAAGTTGTTTCACATGGTTTATGCAAATGCTACTAGTTTTGTAAATGCTCCACTACTCCCAACTAGTAGTGTTATGAACAACTGTGGTATGTACTGTTGTAATGAATTGTTGTAGTGGGTTGTTTGGAATTCTATTTATTTGGTGCAATGCCAGCAAATTGGTTGATGAGACAACTGTGGTAATGAATTGTTATTTCAATGGCCTTGGAAGCACACTTAGTTGTAATGAAGTGCTATTAGAACTGGTAGTTCGTAACTGGTATGTGTTAATGTGGATACTTGTTGGGGGCTTGTATTTGAATGGGCGTGTTACTTGGCGCCAACTTTTGAATTGGTGTGGTTGATTGGCGCCAGTATTTGATTTGAACATAGTACTTTCAAATGGATGCTTCAGCTGATGCTTGGCTGGCTGGTGGTGGGCTGATTCAAATCAGCTGATTGACCAGAAGTAGGTTTAGATCAGCCAGTAGTTGGCCAGCCGAACATGTTGTAAAGTTTCTTGATACTAGAGATTTTTAAAATGACAACATCCAAAGATGGGAGGAATTTTTTAGAGCGCATTTAGATGGACTTTTCAAACTGCGCCGGGCCGTTAGCCAATCGATGGGCCACGTTTATGGGCTGTCAAAGTTTTTGCAGCTTAGGCCCTTTTGGCTCCTCAGACCGGATGGTCGGGACGTCCGGCTGGTACTCTCGCGGGCAGGGTTCGAGCCCCCACGGTGTGCTCTCGTTTGCCTGCCCGGAGTTAAAAAAATCCCCTCATTTGTTTCGAGTTTCCCAAAGCACAGGCAACGGACCGGCTCACTCACAGGGTAACGGGCCCCTGTGTAAGGGCGGGACACGGTGTTCGGGGTTTTCTCACCCTGCATGAGAAGATCTTCTTTCTTAAGCACAAAGTTGCGGGGGCTATCTGCCCACCGTAGACCGAGTTTTTTTTATATAAAGTTTGATCTCCAGGGCTGGTCCCATCAAGAAAAGTTACCACGACTACGAGGCCCACCACTTCCTGGCAGAAGGGGAACAAAAAGCACTCTAGGCAGTCAACATAATCTTCACCTCAAAACAATTAAGTTGGGTGGAAATCTCGATTTTACCGAGTATTTGACCAACATGTTATCGCAGTTTACATATTGCAACTACTACTGACGACAGACCTGACTGTTAGGCCTTAATCTAATGATTATAATCGTTGTCCGAAAAATGCCATATTTTAGGCACCTGAATATAACAACTCCCTTTATATTCTTTATAGAACCTCCTCCCCACTCCTAGATGACTGTTGTTTAGTTTAGAGATTATTAGTCGGTACACTAGTAGAAACAATAGTACATATATTTTTGCGCATCATTCATTCAATAAACAGTGGTCCCAAAAATTACACTCTGCCTCTTATCCTTTAAAAAAACTGCCAAAAACACTGACATATCATGTAAGAATTCAAGTGAATATTTGCGCCTACCATGCGTTCTAACACAGATGAGACTGTACGAGGAGACTCGGAACTCCTACACACAAGTTAATGTGTTCCCCTATAGGGCTTCATTCTGCTACTTTGTGTACCATATAGTTTCACGAAAAAAGGATAAGAAAAGGCAGCAAATAAATTAAACAATCACTACTCTACAAATGACTTTGTCATGCAAGCATGCAATTGTTTGCCTGTCACTTCACTCATAGAGAACTCGCTGGATACGGCCGGATGTAAACGGAGTTCAGCTGCCAGATCTTGACGGATTTTGCTTTGACGTGCACATTTGTGGCATTGTTGAAGAGGAACACGCGGGCGGAGTCGTTGATGGCTCGTGTAGGGTACACGCGCGACGTGATGCACGTCCTTCCGCCTTGAGCAAAGCTCTCCACGATGGAGTGGTCAACCTGTGTGTGTGCGCATCAGAAGCAATGAGCATGCAGTGCGAAGAACGAGCTAGTTAAAAGTTCACCTGGCCAACACAGAGGTATATACATTGGCTTAACATTTAGCACTCTGTAAAAACTTACCAGTATTCTGACTGAAAGATTCTCCCCATCGAGCACAGGGACCAAGCTTCCGTATACTCTCTTAACCAGATCGTTCGCCTTGGATGCCCTAGTGGAAACAGAAAATTAACAAAGTACGGTAAGCATCTGTCAAGCAACTTACCTTGCCCAAGAAGCTTTTCACAGCCTATAGCTAAAAAATGCGCATTCATGGTCATAAGATACACAGTGATACATACCTGAGCTCGTCTTGGCAGAAGAAAGTTTGGAGGCTGCCGTCCGTGCCCTTGACCAGGTAGAAGTACACGGCGGTCTGCTCGGACAAGTCCTCGTCCGCCAGCACGAGAAGGCCGAACGGGCCGAGCAGGCCCCGGCCCGCCGCGCCGGCGCTGGTGCTGCAGTTGAACGTCACGTCGGCCTCCGTCACGCCCTCCACGGCCGACGCGTCCACCTCGAACACGGCCTCGATGTCCAACTGCACGCATGCACACGATACGCACCGATCATCAGCTAGAGAAATTAATAAGTCAGGCTGCGTGCAGCGCGCGAGTTCGTTCGCTGCTGCTGCGTCAGGTGCCCGTGGCGGCGTCATTACCTGTGTCGCCTTGCCGACGTCGAGGGGCACGACCGATCCGCGGTCCAGCGCAATGCCGCCGAAGCTCTTGCCGCTCATCCGGAGGTTCTCCACCTCCACCACCGGCCACTGGAGCAGGTTGCTGCCCGTCTTCGTGTCCAGGAGGACCGTCCTGGGGATTGACTGCACGTGCACGGCATGGCAAAAATTCACGGCTCGCAGAAAACTAAACGCTCAGAAAATTAAGAGACCGTTAACCAGAATCTGTAAACGTGACAACTGACCAACTCCAAGAAGAGAGCATTACTAAAGAAAGCAATAATAGCAGTAGATTTATTATACTAACGAATCCCCCCTTTTCGAGACGTACGTACAGATATATGGCGCACTGTGTCGATCGATTATTATTTTAGATCAATTATGTTAGAAACGAACCCCACGAGCATCGAACTCGATAATCGATATGTATATAATATAGAACTCGATAATCCATATATAATATATAGAATATTTCACGATCACAGCATCCTTTGGCGTCAAGTAAAACGCAAAGCTACTGCGCCCCCTATGCAATAGCAGTAAGACGCTGGGGCAGCAAGCCAATTCGCCATGCATCTCTCGCCCTCAGCCAGTCGGAGACAAGTCACGGTCGCATGCACACCAGGAAATAATTTCGTTGATCCGCTTACGGCATCGCGTTCGTGCTCTCGCGTGTGTCAATTGCGAGACAGGAAATCTTCGTTGGGCCCTGATTTGTCTGGGCGGTTGCTTGCGAGATGGCTGGAAGGATTAAACAGTTCGGCTCGTGCAACTCGTTTTTCGGATAAAACGGCCGTGCAAAATAATTTGTACAGTGTGCTGCGGGCGTGGAGGGGAGGGGACGGGACGGGATCATATGGGAGACCACGACGGCCCGTACAGGGACATGTACAGGTGTGAGGAGCGGAGCCTCTGTGCTTGAACAATTTTCAGATCACAATCGTTTGGACGGTATATGTACAGTACAGGAACAGCACAGCTTGCAGAGTCCTAGCTAGTGCTTGCATGGATCAATCAAGCCACGCTCGTCTAGATGGTTCTATGTGATTTCCAGCTTTGTTGGACGACGATCCTAATTTCCTTATGTCTGGTTGTGATTTTCTTCTTAAAAAAAAAAGACAAAGAAAAAAGACAGGTTGACGAACCCTACCGTTGTTTCCTTCAATCGGCTGTCAGAGTTCATGGTAGCAGAACTATCGTTTATACGCAACCCCCATTGCCCATCATAAACCAGCCTAGCTACATTACTATCGAGTTACGTTACGTGACACCATCGCCCATCACAAAACCAACCCAGATATATAATCTGACCATTATGATCCGGATGTCAAATCCAAATGTTGCCAGCCCAGCCCAGCCTCAAAAGGAACGAACGAAACGTACCTGCACGGATGCCCAGCCCTTGAGGATGTCCGCGCGCTCGCTGTCGGTCTCGCCGACCCACCCCCAGAGCACCCGCCGGCGAAGCACGGGGTCGTAGAAGGTCTTGGACGCGTAGTACTTGCCGTAGTCGTACCGCAGGCCGATCCCGACGTCGTTCTCCGCGTCGTCGGGGGTCCACGTGTCCGTCGCCGGGTCGTAGGTGCCGATGGCGTAGTAGTCGTGCTTGTCGTCGTCGAGGCTGGCCTTGACCACGTGCTTCACCCCGGGCCCGGGCGCCGCGGACGTCTCCAGCCCGTCCCCGTCGGCCGCCGCGGCGCTGCCGCCCGCGGCCACCGGGTAGAAGTCGACGCACTCCCACATGCCGGTGCCCGGGACGACGTGCATCAGCGCGGGCGCCGGGTCGTACCGCACGAAGTCCTCCGTCCGGTACACCAGCGCCAGGCCCGCGTGGTCGCGGTCCTTGGACCCGATGGCGACCCGCCACGCCGTCGTGTCGTTGGGCGCCCGCCACGCCGTCGTCGGGTCGCGGAAGTCCGTCGCCCCGATGCCCGGCGGCGGCACCAGCACCGGGTTGGCGTCCGACTTGACCCACTCCCGCAGCAGCGGGTCGGACGGGTCGGCGGGCTCCGCGAGATTCTGCACCTGCACCGACTCCGCCGTGGAGCCCGTGTAGAGCATGACGATCCGGCCGTCCGGGAGGCGCGTGGCGGACCCGGACCACACGCCGTTGGCATCGTACGGGTGATCCGGCACCATGGCCAGCGGTAGGTGCAGCCAGTGGAGGAGGTCGCGCGACACGGCGTGGCCCCAGGTGATGTTGCCCCACACCGCGGAGTCCGGGTTCCACTGGTAGAAGAGGTGGTACCAGCCCTTGTGATACAGCGGACCTGCGTGCATGCAAAAATGTCACGCTTCATCACGCCATGAATACGCGAAAGCTAGCTGATGGGATATGTAATCTCTCTACCGATACGATCATATCGTGCATTAATGCGACCCGTGGAATGCTAGGAGCCACGCAGAAAAGCATGCCGAGTCCACACGTGATCGATCGACTGGAGGCAACAACTTACCGTTCGGATCTGGAGAAGCCGGTCGAGGAAGATGGCGGATCGGGCATCGCCATGTGCACGAGGCGTCCGTGACAGGAACGCGGAACGAAGTCAGAGCCAGATCGAGAAAAAAACGATCGCATGATCAGCGATAGATGGCGACGGGTCTAACTAACCGTTCATCCAGTTCTTGGGGGGCTGGAAATGGAACGCCGTGCGCTGCCACGCCAGCATCACGTTGGTCCAGGAGAACTCCTCGACCGCGCCGCCGGCGGCGCCGAGGAGCGGGGCCGTGGACTTCTCCGACACTCCATCGGCCACGCCACGGGAGGCGGCCACCTCCACGACGGCATGGCCGCCGCCGCCCGCGGGAACGACGGCGACGCCCCCACCCTGCCCGTCGTCGACGTGCTGCGACGCGAGGACGGTGACCGCCACGAGGACGAGCAGGAGCACGGCGGAGACGACGGCGGGGAGAACGGTCGTCGTCGCCGGCGGCGGCGGACGCTTCTGCCCTCCCCCGGCGTGGGCAGCACGCCTCCGAGGGTCGGTCTCCGGGAGCAACGGCGTGCGCGCCCCCCCGTCCAACGTCGCCGGATCAGCAACGGCCGGGATCATGGCTGGCTGCCACCGTAAACACCAGGTTTTCTTGCTATCTAGCTAGGGTTCGAGTAATGGTATACGAGATCGAGGCACATGCACTCGGTGGCACAGCACTCTTATCCTGTGGCTGCCATGGCCGTGTTCATACGGAAAGGAAGTATGAACGAGAGAGACACGGAGAGAGGTGAACGTTGGAGGTGCCAAGCGAGCAGTATTTATAGCCAAGCAGCTTTATTTGGAAGGACAGAACAGAAGCAGTTTGGCAATCATCTTTCGCCTATTGTTTGGAAGCCAAGTGCGGCTACCGGACGAATCGGGCAAGGAGAAAAAGAAACCGCGCGGGACCCTTCTGCGTCGAAGCATCAGCGGATTTGTGGTGTGGGGGGAAATGTCATTGGCCGTCCAGGTGGATAGGAGGCCGAGTCAGCAAGACCACGCCCCGATTCATGTGGGTCATAGGCTCTGTTGGCTGGTTGTGCTGATAAACTCGGTTGGTGCTGGTTTGTTGTGAGAGGAAAACACTATTGGCTGGATGATAAGCTCTGACTGAAACCAACAAACGAACAAGCTGATAGTAGAATCGATGAAACCCCCATAGAAAATTGGAGCCCTTGTAGTGAGAATTCAAAACTTAGTGCCCAAAGTCTATTTCAAATTTCAAGATAGACATTCACCAAGCCAATCAGTTTTGCACAAGAGACGTCCCAAGTTCAGCAATCATATACTCAAATTTCAAGAGAGACATTCACCAAGCCAATCAGTATATAAGAAATACGTTATTCTTTTGTTGTTGTTCAGCCGACATTTAATTTATTATTGTCTAGCCATAAATAAATTGTAAATTATCTCATGTGAGTTGTCCTTTTAATTGTACTACTTAATTGTGTAAGATTTGTTGCCTGAGAATTTTAAAAAATTAGGCATCTTAAATATAGCAATTATCTTATATTTTACTCATGAACAATACAAAAATTCATTTTCACCAATAGTATACACATAAAATAAAGTGAATGTCTAGGCAAACTCATCGGCGTGGACAAAAATACATTTACTGATATCCCACACACAACATTTTTTACAAATGCTACCTATGCGAACACCGATTGATTAGTCAGGAAAAAAATAAATTGTGACACAAAGTGATAAGCGATTACCACACAACGATATTAGTATTTTTATAATGCTTTGAGATTTACCCTTTAACCTCAGGTTCCACAACTGGCAAAAAAGAGAGGCATTTCCATGATACACGGGCGACAGTTTTCTGCAACCAAGTACCGGATAAGAAACCATATAAGGGTTTATTTGGCTGCAATTCAATCCACCTCGGTCAATACGTATCGGGCTAGAAAATTAATTAGTTTTTCACCCTAATCCATCTCAAGACATGTGAAGTTCAGAAAGAATGGTTCAGCTTATATTTTGTTAGGATGGTTATGGAAAGGATATTTTATGAAGCCACCACAATGAGTGTGCCACGTAGTACTAACCGACGACGTAGATGGTAAATTGTCATTACAAGCAACTAAAATGTCTGCGAGCTATTAACAGAAGTAGCACATGCACAACTGGAACGAGGTTCTTTGCCGAGGGCCGGATACGCTCGGCAAAGGCTTTGCCGAGAGTTGCTCTCGGCAAAGGCTGGTCGGCACAGTACCTCACGGCAAAGGCTACTTTGCCGAGAGCCGCATCTCGGGCTCTTGGCAAAGGATTTGCCGAGGGTTAGCCGGCCGTCGGCAAAAATTTTCGCCGTGATGGCGAGAGGTCACGGTAAAGTTGATCTTTGCCGAGAGGCTCTCGGCAAAGAATTTCTGAATTTTTTTCCAAAAAACTTTGCCGAGCGTCTGTCAGAAGAGCTCTCGGCAAAGAATATTGACAATTTTTTTTAGACATTTTTTTGCCGAGAGCTATGTCTCAACTCTCGACAAAGGCGTCCTCTTTGCCGAGCGCTATGGTCATGCGCTCGGCAAAGCTGGGATTCTGTGTGTTCCAGAATTCCCAGCTTTGCCGAGGGCATGACCATAGCCCTCGGCAAAGCCATAGCCAGTTTTAATTTTTTTTTGTTTTTTGCATTTCCAGTCAACAAATAAACATATACATGACATCCACATCACAATAAGCACATCCACATATCAATAACCACATCCACATCACATAATTCACATCCACATCACATAGAAGTCTCGAAGTTCGAAGTCACAAACAAATCTCGACACATAGACAACCACAAGTGTAAAGTTCGACAAGCAACATAAACAAGAGGCATAGGAGGCGCCAAACTGGTCATGACGACGGTCCGGGCTGAGAAGGCGCCGCGTGCGATCCTGGGGAGTTGACGAGGAGAAGGTTAGGGTCGTTCGACGCCGCCGACTGACGCTACACAAACAAAGAAGATGCAGAACGTGTTAGACAACATAAATAGATAACCAAGCACTACATGTACTTTTTACCACCACGACCACACCACCACCAACCACGCGACACCACCACCACGACCACACCACCACCACCACCACGCCACCACCACACTACTACTACCACCACCAACAAGCACACCACGCCACCACCACCACCACCACCACGCCACCACCACGCCACCACAACCACACCACTACTACCACCAACAACAACCACACCACCACGCCCCCACCTCCACCAACCACGCAGCCACCACCACGACCACGCCACCACCACCACCACCAACCACGCCACCACCACCCACCACCATCACCACTAGCACTAGGTGTCACTAGGTTTTACTAGGTTTCACTAGGTTTGACATTTAGAGAAACTAAAACATTTGTCATACTCACCGGAGTAGAATCAAGCTGAGGTGGAGGTGTAGCCTGCAGCTGACCGAGCAGGAACTGTGGGACCGTTCCACCTTGGGTCATCGCAAGACCCCGCACGTAGGAGAGCACCTCCTCCACCGCCACCGATCCTGCTCCTTCTTGGCCTCTAAAGCTGCCACCCTCTGCGCCGCTCGAGCCCGCTTCGGCCTCCAAAGCCACCACCCTCTGCGCCATTCTTGCTCCCGCGGCCTCCATCACCTGCAGCTATGCCTGCAACATTTGACGCCAATGTTTCAAGATTGCGAAGCTAAGGTATGTAAAAGTCAAAGAACTAGAAATGGAAGAGAACACTTACCTGGAGTGTCGACACCACGGTCGGCAGGCCAAGGCGTATGGCCAAGATTGAGCTCGTGCTTTCATTGCTCGGATCTGGTCGCAATGGAGGAACAGAGGTCGTGTCGAGGACACCATCGCCAAGCCAGAACCACCCGTGCTTCTTGCCTTGCCCCACCCTCATCACAAGCTCTGGATCAAGCCGCTCCTCGGTGGTCGGGTCGTAGTCTGGCCCGTGGACTGACCTTGCCATCTCTGTACGCAGAGATGCGAGGGGCAATGCTGACGTTGGTGAACGACTCGGCAGGGACTTCCGGGGTCCAGTCGGTGGCGGTCGTCGCCTTGCCCAAGTGGGACAAGGCATATGCCTTGAGGTGACCACAAGGGCGGCCACCATGTGACGCCGACTGCGAGAAAGATAATAACATTGTTAGAGTTGTTGCAGAATTGAGTGTTAGGTTAGAGAAATGGTTTCGCCTTACCCAAGCTTCTGAGAATTCGGAGAGGTTGCGGCTGCCTTGATGGTGTGGTACTCCTTGCATCAGCAAACGGCGCTCGTGTGCTTCATCATGCTCCTTCTTCCAGTCCTGGCTGAGCCACATGTCCACAATCCTCTCCCAAGCATCCGGATGCCGATTGCACCAGTTTGGAATCGCCTATAGGCCATCAAGCAAACGATATATCAGAAGATCAAATTAAGGAAACTTAATCTCAGAAGAAATCAATAGTAATGTTTTGTATTTACCGCAAGGTACTCCTCCTTGGTCAGCACCACCTGTCTTGCCTCGTCCTTTTTGATGCTACGCCCTTTGACCTTCGCGTAGTGCAAAATGTGCGCCTGATGACGCGCGTCGTGAATCATGTCCGTGACGCGCTTCTTACAAGAAGCGACCGCCACCTGGTACGCCCTGTGCTCCTTGCCCTCCTCGATTCTAAAGAAATCCTGCATAAAGGCGCGAGGTATCAATTACTTATTAGAAGAATGCCCAATGAATACGATGTATCTTTGGCTAAAAGAATACAATGTGTGCCTGAAAGACTTACCGAAGCGGTCCCCGACGACCATTCCGCCTTGTTCCTCAGATTCTGTATTACTCACGATCCATGGCATCGGTGGCCAATTCAGTAGTGGTCGAACCGAGGGCGGCTCGAACATGTCCGGCTCACCTCCACCAGTGCCGTGGTAGTGCTCCTGCCACGGACCTCCTAGGATGCCATTCACTTTGCGTGCCTTGGCTCCAGTCTCCACAAGTTTCAGCCTCTGCACAAGTGATTACAAAAGTATTAGTTTGTATTTTGATTTTCAACATTTCAAATGAAGAAATTTCGAGCACATCTTAAGTTACTTACCTATCCCCATAGGGTGTGATCGTGGGCGGCGCTTGTTGGTATTGGTCGACGCGGGCTTCATGGGACCACGCAAGTACACCGTCGACACACCAGGAGGAAGTGGATCCCCTGCAGTCACCTCGTCCCTTGCGATCGCCTCGTCCCCTAAGGTGGAGGAGGACCCCCCAGATCCGCATGCTCCATCCATCATGCGCGGCCAGCTCCTCCACGGTCGCGAGCTCCTCCATGGTTGGAGGGGTAGTCACTGTGTCTCGCTTTCGGACGCCTGCAGCTCCTCCGCCTCGGCACTGCCCGAAGGTCGAACCGACGCCTCGGCTCCTCCCAGGCAAGTAAAGAGAGACTGACGGACCTCCCAGGTGGCATCTCCTGCATTAAAAAGAACAAAACAATTAGCATATATAAACGATACATAATTAGAAAGAGATGCAAAATGAAGATAATTACATGCAAAATGAATATAATTATAAAAACAGATAATATTACATGTATTAGAAACGATCTCCATGATCGGGATTAGTTGGATTGTACATATCGTCATCG